TTTTGGGGGGGTTGTAATTTTGGGCGGCCGGCCACTCCTGGGTAGGTTCCACATTTTCACCATTTGTGGAAATTGCCCTCTGTGAGTAACCTTAATTACATGATTGTGTTTAGAGATGGTACTTGTGGAATTCCCATTACATCTTCCATCCACTGCGTGTGTCCGTCTCTTTTTTGAAAACCAGACTATGGTCACCCTACTAGTAGGATACTAGTCCATAAAGGAAGAAAGTTGCTTTGGTGTTGCTATATTTTAGCTTGCAGGTCCATTGTGGATGGAGCCAGGCAGTGAAGAATTGTTTAGTTGCAGTCTTGTGCTGTGTCGTGATACAGATGAGTGGGTCTGTTCTCCTTAAAGGTTAACCGAGCTGGTTTCAGGTATCTTAAGCGTAGGGCTCGGCAATGAAACAATAATGATTATTGTCGAAATATAAATTTCCTCATAACAATATAACATTTTCAATATGTTGTCAATGAGTGATTATGATGATAAATGGTTTCATTCATTTAATTAATTAACTGTTTTGAATGTTATACCTCATATTTGTGAAGTGATCCACTGTTTGTCACGTTCTGACCATGAAGAAAAGTTTAAAACCACAATTAACCATCTGTTTTTTTTCAACTTTCACTCAGGAGCAAAAAATGTTTAACATTAAACTTGATTGACAGTCAAATCAGGCTCCGCCCATCCAAGCATCGAATCTTTGACTATTCAGGGTCAGCCCTAGTCCTCTCCTTCCTCTTGTCTATTATCATCTCCTTAGTCTTTACTGTGTTCAGAGAGAGGTTGTCGTTGTCAAGCCATGTCACCAGGCTTGCCACATCACTCCTGCATGCCGTTTTCGTCAGTGATCTGACCAGTAACCGTGGTGTCGTCAAATTTCAGGATAGTGTTGTCCTCGTGTGTGGCGACTCCATTGTAAGCGAATAGTGTGACGAGAATGGGGCTGAGGACACATCCTTGTGGAGCGCCAGTGTTCATCATCACCCTGTTTGAGGTTAGATTTCCAATTCTGACAGTGAGGAACTCAACAGCCAGCCACACAATATGGGATTCAAGCCAAGAAAGACAGTTTGTTTGTGAGTTTGTAAGGGAGGACTGTATTAAAAGTTGAACTAGAATCAATGAAGATCATTCTCACGTAAGCATCTCTGTTTTCCAGATGTGAGAAGGCTATATGCAAGGCTGCAGAGATACTCATGCTGCAGGGCTCCAGTTACTCATGTGTGTTAATCTGGATGTGGGCCAGAACCACTCTCTCAAAACACTTCATTAAGATTGGAGTGAGTGTTACTGGCCTGTAGTCATTCAGAAAATTGACTGTGCTCAGGTTAAAGATAGCGGTCAAAACTTAAGTTAGTTCAGTTCATTTCTGTAGTACATGTCTTGAGGGCTCAGGGATTTTATCTGGGCCTGCTGTCCTAATTCTCTACAGAGCTTTGTGTATATCAGCTGATGAGAAAGCCAGTTTCTTGCATATTTTTTAGTGTGTGTGAAAACCTCCTGAGTTTTACTGTTAAAATTGTTGAAAGATTGCCTTGTGACTCACAACCCGACTACAATCAGTGACAACTTCCTCTAAAATGTACTTGGATTAATCTTTTGTAACTTATATGACAATAACATCCTAACATGGTGAGCGCTTCACAGAGTGCATCTCATCAGATAAACAATAATGGGAAGTTTCCTCGAGATTCACTCTCAGGGGGAGACGTACATTTCTGCTCTTTCTTTTTCACGTAAATAGATTTATCTTTGTAAGTGGATGGACGCAGTCAAACTCTTTTGTCAGCCATGCTGAAGAAACAACAAATCTAAACAACGCCTTAAGACATTTGCTTGGTGAACAGAATGATGAAGTATTGCAGCATACCTGGGCCTCACACAACCACATGTAGCAGCAAAGGATCATTTGAAGATACTGTGTTTGACGCAGTGCCATGGCTGAATTTGGGTTAATTCTGTATATGTGGTTCTCGAATAGTCATATGTACCGCCGTTTCCCCTGACCTGAAGCATCCAGGATGTATAAATAATCTGTACAATTCTGTACACTCCGTGCACATTCATACACACTGTCAGCAACTAGGAAACCACAAAGGTTTTAAATGTTGTGTGTAAGCTGCCCTATCTCTGAGCACTTCTTTTTGAAACTTGTTTGTGATACTTCTGAGATTGACGGTATATTTCAGAGATAGTGACCTACATAAACACCCTAGTATGCAGGTTATTATCAGCTCTGTCATAGCAACAAAAAGGACTGTTTGAATAACAATAGATCTCAGTGTAAGCAGACCACACAGGAATTAATGGTCTTAATAAGCCTGTTTTTTTTTTATCTCAACTCCATAAAACTGTCAAATCATGATAAATATAAAATAAATGAACTAAAATAAACTTTTTTGCAAGTAATTGAGGTGAAAAGTGTTGGGGAGTCTAACAACTTCCCAGCAGTGAAATAAGATACAAATTATGACATTAATCACTCGTTACTAACTGATGCACATTAGCTTATGGGAAACAGCGGATTTCACTTCCATGAAAGGAGTGGTGCTGCAGCAAAGGGCTGCTGGGCCCAAATATGCAGGGTGTCTGTATCCAGTACACAAACATTTGTGTCCATATCTAAACAACAGCATATTAGTCAGCATCTTCAAGAACAGCTTGAACAATATGAGTGCTTTCTGAACATCCACCTTCTTCAAGTATTTCTCTGTAAAATTAAAGCTGCTTCAGTCAATTATTTTTATATGAACAACAGCTCAAATTACTGTGTTTAATGTGAAAGGGGTCGCTAAAATCCACAGAGAACTATCACCTGACTCTGTTTTTAGCTCATTCTTTTTGTCGACCCGACCCTCCACTGTACTGTTTGTGTTCTCACTGCTCCTCATGTCCACTGCTCTCACTGCTCTTATCATATTCATTTCCAAGAAAAAGTTCCCTTTGCTCGCCAGTTGCCACTGTTGACGGTGCAGTGCAGGACCAGCCCAGTATACTTAGCAATTACAGGAATTATCCAGAGCCAATGTTCAGTGATTACCAATGCAGGAAATAGTGTGCCCTTAGGGAAGCAGAGCCTAAGGGTGTGGAGATCAGAATGGTGAATGGGCATGTAGCATCTCTCTTGACATGGAACAGACCATCTCAAATCAGCCCTGCAATTAATGTTTGCCCATGAAACATGAAACAGGATCTTTCCCCAATCTCAACCAAGAGTTTGAGTTGCCTAATTCTAACCACACATTTACCTTACTTTATTTGCAACAACCAGAATCTTTCTTTGACCTCAACTGTGCCTTGTCAGAAAGAAAGATTTTCCAAGAACATTGTCACTAAACATAATCTGGCCATTTGCGGAATCATACAATTACAAGGTTCTTGTTTGGCAATTGCAGAGCCACGTGGACACTGCTTTTGAGGTGTCTCACGCAACTAAACACAGTTTTTCAACACTTTAGCTCAACAGTTGACGAGACTGACCATCTACTCAGCCCCATTTATTATGTGACACCTGCACCCATCTCTTCACAACCAACCAACCAACCAACCAGAAGGAGTCCTCACTGCAACAAGGGCATGAGCCCTCACTGGCTTCCCGCCAACACACTGCCAACAGTTCTTTTTCACAGCAGATATTTGAATGATGTTCTTTCTACACCTTAACTAAAAAATGTTTCAGTTAAGTTTTAGTAGTAGCAAATGTCCTGGAAATGATGAACTGAGTCAATCAAAAACAACATAAAAAAACAAGTCATTGAGGCCAGTTACTGTAAACTCCAGAGTAAAAAGGGTAAATCCACTCACAAACAAAAAAAGGCATGCACAAGAGGTTGCTCTTAGGGTATCGACTTCCCACCCACATTATTGGATTTTGTATAGCACTACAATTATGTTCCACAGACCAACCACTGCAGCACGCGAAACTGCACTCAACTCAGCCACAATGTGTTGTCTATCATCTTTAAATGCTGATAGATAAAATTTCTTTTCCCTTAAATGCATTTTGCTAAACATGTTTGATGCACTGTTGGGCGCCCTGATTGTGGAGAGTGACTCTTGGCAACAGTTAGACCTTAGTCGCTGTGTAATCAATAACAATTAAGTGCCTCCAGGCCATTGCTTAGAAATTAAGATGGGAACACTCAGAAACTACAAATGCACTTTCAACATCTCAAACACTTACTGCAACTTTCTGTCCCTTCCCCTTTCTTGCACTTAATGCTCTATTAAGCTAATTGAGTAATAATTCTCTGATCATGTAGAGTCACTGGTGTTACAGGGGTGAAACAAACAGGTAATGAGTGCAATTGGGGCAGATTGTTTATATAACCACTAAATGAGTTACAGATGAATTATCCTGCCCTTCCACCGCACAGGCCTTTCAGCTGCAAAAATGAGCATGCCCATTTCCCCTGTAGTATCCGCACTCCATTTACTAACTATAAATCACACTCATTAGCAACATACAAAGGAAATGCTGTGGAAGAAACAAAAGCCATTAGTCATTAGTCAAGATGGATCGCAATGGTTGTTCTGTGTATCTTTAGATGTTTTTGTTTGCCTAACAGGACTATGTCTTAAATTACACATTCAATAATATGAATCAACAGTGCATGCAAAACTCCACACCTCACTTATTTAAAGTCTTCCTATATGTACATCCAAGTGTGCAAGACTGTTACCGAGTACGTCTTAGGTTCCACTATACACATGCACTAGAACAGGTTCTGTATTTGTAGAGCAGGTTAAACATTTGTGTATTCAATTAGAATATGCAATTACAAGCAACTGAGACAGAAATATGAGATGATACAGGTAACGAAGGAGGTTGTTCTGCAACTCATTTGAACCTGTGGGTGAAAAAACACAAAGGAAGTATATTCAGGACAGAGGCAGGTCTGTAGCACAATCTTTCAGTCTCGATGCAAACTTGCTTTTCTTTCCGTTACCGTACATGCGTGGCTGTGTGGTTGATGATGTCATTGGGCTTAATGCTGTTGTGCTGCACAGTAGAAGAGACCAGTCCTACTTCAAAAAGCTTTCTAACAACAAGTGGTCTGAGGAGGCAGCCACCTGGTGCAGCGTCCTCCCACTACTGCTGCGACATCTGGCAGACGAGGTAGAGAGGCGGAGGAGACAGCACACCAACTAGGAGAGAAGATCAACAAACTGGTTGTACCGCTCTGACACCAGACAGGAATTCCGTGGTAAGAAACTCTTCTGAAGTGTGATTTTATCAGGGTTTTTTTTACTTTTGTTGAGAGGAAGTAATACAGATAGTTAAATTTAAAGCATGTAACTAGAATGAAAAACGGACCATCCAGTGTTTAACAAGGTCAACATTTTCAGTTTGTGCAGAAGGCAATATTTTTTGGAGAATGCTGGAATGTAGGATTTGATAACTTTCATCTATGATAGTTGGCAAGCAAACTGTTACAAAGTGCATTAGAGCCACCAGATAAGCACATTTATGAATGACATTCTAATTCACTGGATGCATTTTTCCATTATTAAATTGCCTTTGTATACTTTATTGAGGGTGACAATGAATGCAAGTTACTTAATTATTTATCACCAGATGTACCGATATATAGACGCTAAAAAAACACTATTTGACATCCATATTCTAAAGGTCTCGTCCAGTATACTGGAAGTCATCAGTGTAATTCATTTAGGTGATTTCCCCGGAGTCTGTTGCAGCTCTGAATTCATCATGAACAACATTGCCCAAAAACCGTCTTATACAGCAGAAACCGAAAAGACTTGTTTAAAAAGCAGAACCCTTGTCATGTGACAGGATAATAGTATACAATGCTATCTCCTTTCTGAGTTTCCTCCAGAGTCTGCAGAACAGCAGACACAATCTCTTAAACAATCTGCCACATCACAGTCATCATACTCTGAAGGGCTCTGTGTTTTGCACATGCTGGGGTTTTTTGCGGGGTGGGAGGGTAGACCTGCCAGCAGTTTGTTTCATGTACATGCTCTCCTTTGCAAACATCTTCATCATTCTCATTTCTCTCACCCTCTGCAGCTGCGACCACAAATGGAGCAAATGAATGTGACTGACAGCTTAGAGAGCAACTCGACTGACTGTCCGTCCATCGATGACTTCCGTAACCAGGTTTACTCCACAGCCTACTCTCTCATCACCGTGTTAGGCCTGGTTGGGAACGGCCTCGCTCTGGTGGTGCTGTTCAGAACCTCTCGCCAGCGCTCACCCTTTCAAATCTACATGCTGAACCTGGCTGTGTCTGATCTGCTGTGTGTCATGACACTGCCACTGCGTGTTCTCTACTATGTAAACAAGGGCCAGTGGAACCAGGGAGATTTCCTCTGCCGTATCAGCTCCTACGCCCTCTATGTAAACCTCTACTGCAGTATTTACTTCATGGTTGTCATGTCTGTGACACGTTTCCTGGCCATTGTTTTCCCTGTGCAGAACATGCAGCTAGTGACAGAGAACCGCGCTCGCCTGGTGTGCGCTGGTGTCTGGGTGTTTACTTGTCTTTCATCTTCACCCTTCCTGATGTCTGGCCAGCATTTTGACCCCAGCACAAATAAAACCAAGTGCTTTGAGCCTCCTGGAGGAGGGAGAGATGTACGGAAACTAGTCATACTGAACTATTTGTCTCTGGTGATTGGCTTTGTCCTGCCCTTCCTGGTCATCCTTGTCTGCTACGCTGGCATTGTCCGTGTCCTGCTGTCTCGTACTCCTTCTGCCCGACGGCAGCAGGGGACGGGCACCCGAGCCATCCGAATGATTGTCATCGTCCTGCTGACCTTCCTAATCAGCTTCATGCCATACCACGTGCAACGCACCATCCACCTGAGCTCCCTGTCCCGAAATGACACCTGCTCAGAGAGGATTGCCATTCAGAAGTCTGTGGTGGTGACGCTGTGCCTGGCTGCTTCCAATTCATGTTTTGATCCACTGCTTTATTTTTTCTCTGGAGAGGGTTTCCGCAGTCGCATGTCCTCCCTGCGGCAGTCGTTCTCGGGCAGCACCCATCTCCGTGTAGCCAGGCCGAAGCTCCCCAGAGCCTCAGAGTCCGGGGACAACAACCAGCTGAAGGCCAGTTAATACACAACACACAGGAGGGTAATCAAAGCAGCTTCAGATGTGTTTAAAGAGCTTTGAATGGCTTGAGTCCTCATTAACTAACAGGGAAGGAGTTGATAGAAGAATATGAAGGTCAGAAAAAAGGTTCGACAAATGAGGATGAAATTAATATTTAAACATTTAACCTACAAGTCTCAGGAGAATGTTTTCCATTACAATGTATATTTATTATTCTAAAGAGCTAATGTGAAGTGGTTCTGCATTATAATTATGATAGTAACCAGAGGCCCATTTTGTCCTAAAAGTTTCACAAATTGTGGAATTACAAATATAAATACACAGTATATGAATGTATGAATGTACTGTAGATAATGTTGAGATGTGTATTTTTATCTGGAATGTCTTCAAGAGGCTTGAGTTATCATCTTGAGTATCGCCTACATATGAATGTTTATCAAGAAGGGCTAAATTCTGATGACTACCATAGACCTTTACTTATCTTGACTGTATTATTCTCCTCATTTTATACTGATATTTCTAGCATTTTTGTAGAAACCTTTTTTCATTATTTAGCATTGTGCTCTGGTTATTATGATTTTTAATATAATTACTTTTTGTTACTCAATTTGGATTCATATTTGTTTTTGTGCTACTGATTTTTTGTATAATTTTTGTGTACATTTTTGTAAATAATAATGTGGGGTTTTTTGCAATTTTTTTAACCTTTACTTCCTGATTTCGTGTACTGTAATCTGATCTGAGTTTCAGCACATCAACAGTGAGCTGTTAGGAAATTCAGGGATTTGGGACTGTAACGGGGAGTTATATGAGAAGATTAATACCACTCAATTCTTTGTATGGTAAATATCTTAGCACAAAGACAAGGGGAAACAGCTAGCGTGGCTCTGTCCAAGGGAAACAAAATTTACCTGCAAGCACCTCTAAATCTCTCAAATTAAAACATTGTTTGTTTACACCGTGCAGTTTGTGGTTTGTTTCCAGAGTTTCCAGTCTTCATGCTAAGATGTCCAGCTGCTGGCTGTAGCTTATTTTTTACTGTACAGGCCTGATAGTTGAATTGATGTTCACATCTAACTCTTAGCATGCGTATTTCACAAAATGTTATTACTATTATTTTAAACACCTTAAAGGATGCTACTGCTTTCTTTTTCTCTGGAAGGGGTTTGGTGACTATCTTTCATGTTATGTATGATACCTGAATTAATAAATCATCCTAAACGTGTCAGTTCAGTATGATCACATCTATTTCACTTTCTAGGAAAACAGTGACACACACTGCATGAAGTTACAATCTCTGTCCACTGGATGTCACACCACACATATTTTGTAGCCCTGAGATTCAATAATGATAATTTTCCCTATTGCTTTTCTATTATTTATCACTATTTTTTTTAAGCGGAGAAAACACTGAGTTACACTTTAAGAGGAGTTGTGGTGCACTTTAACAAGCTGATTTTGAGCCAAATGTTTAAGTCATAAAACTGTCTGTAGGGTATATAAATGTATTAACATGAAGCTATAAAACATCTTACATTTCCAAAAAAAGGGTAAGAGCTTATATAAGCCTTACATAAAACCCACAGCACTCAGACATAAATTTAGCTTCTCTCACAAAACATCACTGAGGAACTAGACTACTGAGGCCGACCCTGCTGATTAGAACACAAGAAGCCACTGTATTACAACTTCATAAACAGATTATATCGGGCACATGACAAACTCTCCCCGCCATTTGCACAAAAAGATGTTTGTTTCAGTCTGGAAAGCAGGGCTGTCTTAGAGATGGTACTCTGTGGTTGCAGTGTTATTGTACCTCATGGCGGATATACTCATGCTTACCAGAAGTAAGGAAAGTCCCAGCTAAATTAATCTCATTTGTTTCTAAAGAGGTTATGGATAACAGTAAACCCCATTCCATTTCAGGAAATCACTGATATCATTTTATTTCTTTCATCTGTGCTCCAGCTGTACTGCTCCTCTATTCATTTAGCCTTAACATTGATCAGTTGTTTTGAAAAGTAAATCATAAAACTTGTTTGCCTTTAGGGGGAGCAGACTCAATTTTGCAACATGTGTTAATGCCTACCATGTGAGCTCAGAAACAGTTGGAGGAGCTCTGGAATTAACCAGCTGTAAACACAACACTTGTTAGTGTCTAGCAAACCAACAAATGTAAGTCCAATACGCACTCTCCTGTTATTTTTGTTTCTCCACCAACACCTGACGGAAGACAATATAGCTTTTTAGTTCCTAAATGCTCCACAGTGCTCACATACTAGTTGCTAATCATGTCTGTCTGCTGTTTGGTGCTGGCCAGGTAATGTACAGTCGGTCTGCCTACAGCTGCTGTAAACAACACAGATGAAAGCTGTGAGAGGAAACAGGGGAGACGGGGAAATTGCAGAAAATTGTCCATTTCTTTCTGGTCTGCAGTTAAGCTCTACTACAAACCTGATATTTGGCGCAACCATTCTTGATTTTCCACACTGGATGTCCCCACCTTGTTGATAAGAGTTCAAGGGAGCAGCCAACAAACCAGAGTGCCCTGTGAGGCCTGGAACTATGGGGGTATTTGGACACACACAAACTTTCTGCTTGGCAGCAGAGAAAGCAGAATCCCCAACATTAGATATTTTGTCTGATCCTTTTAGTCTCTTTCGGTGTCAAACTTAAGTAAACATAACCCTGCCTTGTGCAGTTTACTGTTCTGTACTGTACGTACTGTAATATCACATGACGTCTGCACACTAAAACTGAGATTTTTGAGTAAGTTGCCCTGCATCGCCATTTCAGACATAGCCTCTAAAACGTGTAAAGTTGCTGATGGACACGATTTGAGCACTGCTGTTCCTAATGAGTGTGTGTGTGTGTGTGTGTGTGTGTGTGTGTGTGTGTGTGTGTATACCTGCACATATTTCCAAGTGATATATGCAAAGTACACATCAAAGGCCACATGCAGGTTGCACTTTCTTCTACTGCCAGATTGCAAGGTTAAAGGCCAAGGAGTGGGGTTATGGTGAGGCAGACAAACAGCTCACAGAAGGGTTAATAGCAGTCTCGAGCCTGAAGAGCCACTGGAATCAATCTGTGTCAGGCTATTACTCAGACTTTTGTGTCAGTCATTTGTCCATTACATTTTAAAAACTGAGAATAACACTTCTCAGCGTTATTTGCCCACTTTATCACAGAACACTCCAACTACCTGCTATTTCATCCCAAGTTTACTCACTTAGAGAGAGTTAGTGTGTTGTTGCCTTAAAGGGAAGCTTGTGAACAGCACTGGAGTGCCAACGACAGCGATTGTCTATTCCACTACAAGTATTTTGAGCCACAAGTGTATTTTTGTCAGTGCTGTGACGCACACAGAGAGAAAGGCCCCTCAGTTTGCTTTACTTACAAAATCTAATCACTGCATCACTTAAAGACTTCTGGTGTTTGTATAACCAGCTGTTTTTCTCAAAACAAATAAAGATGAATGCGTCTTTTCAAATGTATTCAGAATAGTTACTTTTTTAAAATGGAGGACTTTTTGTTACAGTTTTTCATAATTGCTAAAACACAACCCCATTCTCTGAACCAAATACCTGAATCCTCAGTGGCCTAAATCCATTTGTCCAGTCACTCTTTTGGCAAAACCTTAAACAAGTTCAGGTCGTTAAGACACTGTTTGCAAATCTCATCCACTTTTCTTGCAAAACTCTAAACACATTCTCACTCACTAAAACACATTTTGCACTGTGATGCACTTGTGTTGCAAAATGGTAAATACACACAACAAAAGTTAAACACAACTACAACACAGCTGTCATCTTTTACACACATCAACTCATAATTCTGCACACTTGTTTCTAATCATGTGATCAAAATCTCTTACGGGCAATGGAATTGGCCTGTGGTGAGACATGTGAGGAGTGTTGTTACAGCAAGGCAGCATCCAGCACTTCCGAGGGTTTTTCTCCTTTGCTTGGTTAAGGGACAAGGTTGCATGTTATGTGGATGAAGTCTCTTAATGTATTGACTTTGATCTTGCAGTTGCTCAACATTTTTTGAGTGTAATTTGCTTTCCATTTATAGTTTTCTTTGTTGCTTACTGTATTTGAATATACAGATATTCAATACTGTATTACTTACAGTATACTTTATATTTACTGTACTAACTTACTGTACTTTTTACAGTTTTTCCTCAAATGCTAAAACACATTTCACAAACGTTTTGTCCATGTTCTCCAATGTCTAAACACAACACCCTTTTCTAAAGCTACATAAACACAACCACACCTTCTCCCTTCAAAACTCAAACTTTCACACCAAAAGAGCAGCTCGAAGCTTTCAAAAATGTAAACACTATACACATCATTACACACTACAGCAAAACAATTGAAAACACAATGCTCCATTTGTGAGAAGGTTCTTTGTTTCATAACTGCCAATGCATATTTTTAGAAACTTTACAATAATGGATCTTCTTAGATCTCTGCAGAGGATTGGGCATTTAGATTTGTGAGTTTCATATGAAGAGTATAAATCTATAGTAAATTCTGTACACTACTGTAACAACTCAATACAAAAACAGAATCTATTGCACACAACAGTACTCTTGAAAACATGATCAGGGTGTGAAGTTTTTTTTATTTACACCACAATCACTGTGCGGCATCATGTCGCTGAGCTGCATCGGGGCCACATCACCTCATCCACATCGCAGGCTATATTGTCTCTTGCCAGGCACCGCGGGAAAAACGCCCTGGAATGGCGGATCCATCCTTGGAAGTTCTCCACTGGGATGTCAACACACGCCAGCTCCATTGCCCTTAGGAGGTTCTCTCTAGTGTATGGTTGTCTGTCATAAACCTTCCATCTCCACGATGAGAAGAACTCCTCTATAGGGTTCAGGAAAGGGGAGTAGGGTGGCAGACAGACGTTTAAAAAGTGGTTACTGTTGGTGGTGAACCACTCTCTGATTTGGTTTGTTCTGTGGAAGCGTACATTGTCCCAAATGATCACATAAATGGGATGTTCGGGCCCAGGATGGTGTTGTTGACGGTCCAGGAGGATATCTTTTAGCTCCTCTAGGAAGGTTGGGAGACGTTGGGTGTTGTAAGACCCAAGGACAGCCTGCCGGTGGACAAGCCCCTCCAAACCCATGGCCGCACAAAGAGTAATATTACCCCCCCCGTTGGCCAGGAACCTCAGTGATGGCTCTTTGGCCAATGATGTTACGGCCTCTTTGCCTTCGTTTCTGCAGGTTGAAGCCAGCCTCATCCAGGAAGAGGTACTCATGAGGTCTGGCCATCGCGTCCAACTGTAATATCCTCTGTGAAAATGTGAAAGTGCACAGGTGTTCAGAACAACAGTCAATCAGGTAGCATAGTATTGTCCAGAAGTAATGTAGGCCACTGAGCAACACAGTATGTTCACTAACTGTACTGTGAACATGGATGTATACTTACTTCACATACTCGTAACGTAGGTCTTTGTGTCGTGCAGAGTTTCGCTCAAAGGGAACCCTATAGACTTGTTTCATCCGCATCTTTTGGCGCCGGAGAACTCGGTCTATTGCGGCCAAGCTGACATCATCAACGCCCTCAAAGTTCACATTATCGCCAATGACTTTGTCTCTGATCTCCCGGAGTCTGATGAGGTTGTTCTCACGAACCATATCCACAATGAGGGTTTCTTGTGCCGCTGTAAATATGGCAACCCTCCCACCTCTATGTGGCATTCTTTCAACTCTAAAGAAAGAAATGTGTTGTCAATTGACATGTTTTACAATACAGTAACAACTGATTTGAAACTAATAGACTACTTTCACAGGCTTGTAAAATTGTATTGTGACAAAGAAAGCAATAGAGTACAATACCTGTTGTGTTGTCTGAATGCCCTGATAATGGTGGCCACGGTGAACCTACTCAGGTTTGGACGGACTCTTAGTCCTGCTTCAGCCACTGTCATGCCATGGACAATGACATGGTCAATGACTGTTGCTCGCATCTCGTCCGTAATGATGGTGCGAGGTTGTCTTGCTCTCCCTCCTGGACCTTCTCCTCTCCCTTCTTGGCCTGCTCCTCTTCCTCCTTGGCCTGCTCCTCTTCCTCCCTGGCCTGCTCCTCTTCCTCCCTGGCCTGCTCCTCTTCCTCCTTGGCCTGCTCCTCTTCCTCCTTGGCCTGCTCCTCTTCCTCCTTGGCCTGCTCCTCTTCCTCCTTGGCCAGCTCTTCTCCCTCCTCTGACTCGATTACCTCTTCCCCTGACTCTGCCTTCATCCATTGTGTTTGTTTGGAATCTTCAGCAAACTGTGCACTCTGAACTTGCTTTTATGCATGTGGTCACAGCATTAGCAACAGGTGTTTTCAATTTTGAGTCGTTGTGTGTAATGAATGACGCCAGGTGTGTTCATTTTGTTCAAATATTGCTGACTGTGGCAAGCATTTTGCATCACATGAGCTTTCATTTGAGAATATGAGCAGAGTTCTTTTGCAACTTGTGTTTTAGCAAGGAAAAATGTGTTAAGATTTATGTGAACGGAGGATTGTCTTTTGTGAATTGTGTCTTCATGTGAAATGTGTTTATGATATTGGAAAATGATGGCTAGATTTAGTAAATGTGTTTAGACAACTGGTCATTTGGTTTAGAGGATTGGCTTTTGTGTTTTAGCATTTGAGAAAAACTGTAAATTGGAAAATGTGTTTCCTCTATGCAAAAACTATTTTTCTGTAACTACATGTCCTGGATGCTGTGTTCTCAATTTTTTGATGTAGTGTCTAAAGAATGCTCTGTAGTGTTTTACATATTGACTGGCTGTGTTTAAGTTTTGAAAGCATTGTTTGATTTTGAGCACAGATCAAATGGTTTTGAGGCAAGTGTTTGATTTTGCCAGAAGGTTTTGTGAATGTTGTTTAAAGACTGGGTTTTGTGTTTAAAGTTTTGAGAATATGGGTGAAGGTTTCAAGAAATGTGTCTTAACAACAGTGAAAAACTGTAATAATTAATAATTTTTTGAAAGTTCAATATGCTATTATTAACAGAGATTAACTAAGGTGAAGTTGAGTAGTTAAAAAATAAAGCCAATATTTCATATCTTAGATACAATAAGCAAAATGTATGAATGTATCGGTGCGCAAAAGAAACTAAGCAAAAGAAAAATAAAACCCAATCAGTCCTAGAAATATGTTACACATTTGTCTGTGCACAAAATATAATTTATATCAGCCTGGTATCAACAAAAGGTCTAAGAATATAGTCGCATTTCGTCATGTCGCGTAGTATTCCAACACATTTTTTGCTTTTGCGTGTCATTTCACGCTGTTTAGACAGCATTGACTTGTATTGTGCAGAAACGGCGTGCCATTTTACACCTAGTGTCACAGTTAAAATGAGCGTGTGTGGGATATAAATAGCTATGAAAGTCCAACAGTAACGTAGTGGATGGTAAGTTGGTCCATGACACAGGAGACCGGCTTTCGGTTCCCAAGTGAATCAATAATTACACAACATTAGTTTTTGGTTTTGGTTTTTTGGTTACGTTACATTACGTTATGATGTTACATTGTTGCTAATGTTAGCTACATAGTGTTAGCTGCGTTAAAGATTAAGTAGCTCGCTAGCTAATTATGCTAGCATTGACATCCCCTTCAATGTACTTAACTGCTAACCTTAACCATCACATTTATATATGCATGTTGACTGGTTAAACTCCTTTGTGTTGCTCATAGGGACTTAACAGTGAGAAATGACAAGCGAAAAGCTTAAAATGCGTTGACATGGCGTGTTGAAATGTCCTTAAAAGTGGCATGTTATTTACACGCCATTCCAGGATATCACATTGTTTATATCCCTCATTAGTCCACTGGCCCTACTTATTCTGTCTCCCACTAAAGTTAATCCGTCCCTGGATAACTTGATGCAGTTTTTCTAATTAATGAACTCCTTTGGTTACAGTGCAGCTGTTAATGGCAACCACAGACCTTGCCAGAGGCACAATTTAAAGTGCTTTTTCTTCTCTAAACAAAATGAGCAAGGAGAGCTGTAGCAACCCTGATCTCAACCTAGCCTAAATCTTGTCCCGTCTAGTCGAACACAAAGATCAAAAATCTTTTCAAAGACCAGGAGAGCCATTGACTTGCAGATGTTTTATGAAGTAAGAATTCTGCTTCTTTCACTCATTTCCTCCATGATTTAGCCTTCCAAGCCGATGTAATCCAAGTCGGTTTAATCTTAGCAAAAAGGAGTCCACAGCTGTGGTGTTTATCTCTCCAGACCCTAGACCCCAGTAGGAGAGGAGCTTAAAGCCAAAACTGCAAATGGATGTTTGGCAAAAACTTGAGTTTGGGAGCAATCATTCAAACAGAAAGCTCTTTGTTCAGGGTCAAAAGAAACAATCGCCTTGTGGCTCTCAGTTTCACTCTTTCTGAGACAACGGAGGCAGAAAACTTCTTTGTAAATCAATGAGGTGGGAAAAAAAGAGGATTTAGGGGTTTTAGTTAGTGAGCGTGGAAACAGTGATACAGCTTTCACCAACAAGAACAAGTCCAGTTCCGTGCAGAGAAACTGGGTCATTCTTGTAATAACCCACTTAGACTCCCCACATTCTTCACCACCTGTAGTGAAATGTATTGGGCTGTGTGAAGACTCTTTTTGTCCCGTAACAAATTGGTTAGGCGCTGGAACCATCCCTTATGCTGCTATAGGCCTAGACTGCAGGGACTTCCCATGATGAGCTCCTCTTTCCCCCTCTCCCTCTCCATCTGTATGCATTCTTTAACCATCAATGCATGTTACTAACTTCACTTCTTACCTCTCCAGGAGTTTTGTGCTTTCTCGTCTCTCTCCTCACTCCCTCTCTGTCACTTTCTGCAGGTGTTTCTGGCTCCGGAGCTGCAGAGTCTGGATCTATGATAACAGGCCACCTGCTGCCATAATGTTCCTGCTTGACACCCACTGCACATGTAAATGTAAATGCTCCGTACTTGTATAGCGCCTTTCTAGTCTTTTCGACCACTCAAAGCGCTTTTACACTTTTACACTACATCTGCATTCACCAGTCATACACATTCATACACTGAGCCTAAGTGCTCAAACAGAAACTAGCATTCACACTCATTCTGCAAATCGGGGTTCAGTATCTTGCCCAAGGACACGTCGACACGCAACCAGGGGGAGCCGACCTTCTGTTTAACGGCCAACCCGCTCTACCTCCTGAGCCACAGCCGCACACATTAATTAATTATTAGTTCTATTACTATTATCATTGCTGTTGCTTACTCATTATCATTATTATCTTTATTAATACTAATTACCACTATCATTACTATTATTTTCCATCTGAAAGTGGAACATGCATCGTGCTACTGTGTTCTCTATTTCCTCCCCCACTCTATCTCTCCCCCTCTCTCGAGTCGAGGTTCTGAGTCGAGGTTCTGAGTCTAGGAACTGAATAGAATATGTGCACAGTGTCTGAGCAGACTGTCACAGTTTATCCAGACCAAACAGACCACTGAAAGCAAATATTGACTGATGAGGGAGTAAAGTTGAGGTTTGGCTCTGAAACCTCCCTCCACATCGTGGAAAATCAAACCCAAAACACAATTTGTCTTCATGTGAGCTCATCCCCAACAACTTCTGAAAAACTTGAAGTTGCCCCCCCCACCCCATAATTCTTTTTTACATAAATTATGTGATTGAAAATATAACTTTAACTAAAGCTGACTATTTCTGAAACAATTCTCACATAACACAACACATTTTGAAGGTTTTGTTTACGTCCCCACCCCCTCCCCGCTCAGTGGGCTTAACCGTTGCATATACTAAACTAAGTGGGAATTTGGGAAAGTAAGTTAACGGTTTACTTCATCCTGACACTTTTGCTTACTATTGGACTATGAGTGAGTTGCATCTTCAGTGAGTGAGTTTAGTGGCCATAGTGACAGATGCCTTGTAAGTAATTTTGTTTAGAAAAAAGATAAAGTCTCCTCATCAGCAGAATAAAATGTTAACCAGACTGTTTACCACCTCAAGTAAACTGACGTATCCCAAGCCATACCAATATTTAGAGGGAGGTAGCTAGCTAGCTAGTTTAGCCAGCTTGCTCGCTAATGCTGAGAAAAGTCCATGTTTGTGCCCCTCTGAGTAATGAGATCACCACTGCAGGTAGCTAAACATAGTGAGCATGAGCCTTTTCATCTAGCTATTGACAAGAGTGCAAGGGATGGTGAGTGACCACCACAACCGCAGGCATGCTACCATGCCCACTTCTTGCTCCTCCCCTCCACCTCTCTCAAGAGTAGGCTCAGGTGATTCCCCAGTTTTCCAGGCCTGCCATGGCTCCAGCACTCCCACAGTAGAGGAGCTCATGCAGTTGGGACGGGCTCACCTCTAACCGAACATCTTCGGTGGATGAAAGCCACGATGAAAGCCAGCGAGTGCCATGTCCTCGCTACCTGTCCCCTCCGGCCAAAAGAAGAGGCTCACCAGTAGCAGTGGGGGTTCTGGTGAGCCAAGCGTCCTCTTCTCTAATCCCCAACCTAGAATGCAAAGGCCCCCTATGCTGGAACCAACACTCCGTGCCCTTGCTCGCCTTAGTGGAATCTTTAGCAGACGCCAATCTTCCAGCATGTTAGGGGTAACACTGGCATCGCCAGTAGCTGCTCCCCTAAAACCAAATGGCAAGCTCTTCGCCCACTTTGCTCACTGCACCAAAACCCTGCAGACTGCTCCCTGAGTACATAAAAAGTATTTGTTTTCAACCTGTGACATCTTTGTCATTTAACAAGCAGCAATACACCTACTGATGACCTAACAATAAAGGATAAATTGAAGCTTAAAAACACAAAAAGAAATCCCCTGCATACCACGCTGTTGAGCCACCCTAAATAACCACAGAGGAAATTCCTTCACAGCGACAGCCTACTTTTTTACTAACTGATTGGAGGCTAAAGGAAGCTTTAAATTTCTTTTTAGAGTCCATTTTAATAATTTAACTGCGGAAATAGTATTATTAACTGATGTATTCAGTTATATATTTGACTCATCAGATAACCTTTTGTCATTTCCTAAAACATATGCACTCTAACAGGATTATATTTTTCATATTTTATTTACCTCTTTTTTGCCAAAGGTGCAACAGCAGCTCCCGAGGCCTTTAGAATTAGACATCAAGTCCTTTGTGATGTCGCAGGGAGGCAGTGGGGTTAACTGCAGTACAAAGCTGTAAACTAAAGATGGCTGTCATCTGTTCTGTAAACTGAAACATCAGTTCTTGGCTAAGGCAGATGAGAGATGAATATTACTGGATTTTTCCCCTCACACATCGTACACACACTCCTATAGTATAACTAAAGTATATACCTAATATTCGCTGCAATGTAATTCAATGTGTTACAATTCTTATTGAGCAGCTCATTCTGGAGAGAAGAAACCACAACTTATCATTCGTGCACATTAAGACAAAATAAAAAAGATGTTAAAGTTAAAAACATCCATAATACAACATACAACCCGCAGCACTAACCAGTATGTGTTTACTGTTGACAGGATTTATGGCATCTGGAGAAAACCCAACTGTTTTCTGTTTGTTTTACATGTGGTGCTTCAAAAGCCATTTCCTGAAGACATCATGGCAAAACAGAGACACAACAGTGCGGTGAACTCAAATGGCATGAAAAACAGGCTCATCATTCATGTATTTCCACATGTAAGTGAGAATGAAAGAAAACTTGTTACAACCGCAGAGATGTCTGGACTCAAAAACATGACTCAAACCGCAAAGGGTGGTCACAATTAAACAAAGCTTATTTTGGGGGGGGTTCCGGTGGCAGCAGTGGCGGATGATGAGCAGTAGCCTATAGCAGATCAGGGTGAAGCGAGGCAGGCAGAGCAACCAAGCGGTGGTAAGGATCCGCCTGGCGGGCCGCAGGGTGGGAAGATCACAGGCGAGTAGTGAAACCTGCGCACTAGAAGACACGAGGCCAGTCAGGCGATCATGAGGAAAACAAACCTCAAGGAAGAACGTGTACTAGAAGAGTAGGCTAGCACTAGTATCACGTTGGGAAACTGTATAATCTGGCAGAGAATGAAGGGAAGAGCCGGGGTAGATATCCCACAGTGTCTTGATTAGTGGATGCGTAACAGGTGTGCAGCAGGTGACTGGCAGCAGGGGCAGGAACGGAGCGGCACGCCAACACAGAGAAACAAACGGGAAACTGACAGGAAACCAGGGGGTGAGAGAGAGATAGCCTACTGATAGATAGGGAAAAATAGAACAAAAAAAAGACAGACAAAACTAAAATTGACTAATACTGAACAGGACTTCAGTATGTCTACAGATGATATCAATTTAGCAAACACTCACAAAATCATCGTGAAATATGTATGTATTGGCCTATATATTAAGTGAATTAGTGAAGGGGTCACGGCTGCGGGCTGGATGCAGAAGGACTGGGGTTAAAGATGTTTACTTTCTTCTTCAAGTGGCCATTGTGTTCACTTCCACCCATCACATGACACCTGGTCACAGTCTCCTCATCAGGAGGACACACATACACACACACACACACACACACACACACACACACACACACAATCGCACACTCAGACTAACACAATGGGCCACTTGTTATCCCCCACCGAGTGTACAGGAAGCCTCCGCTCCAGATTTGAGCTGACTGAGGAGGGGCCACATTATGATGTTGGCATGGTCCCGCACGAGCCCCTCACTGACCCCAAATCCTCATCAATACAGGCCATTGATACAGCACACATGCCCTCTAATTATCTGACAACAGGACCTCTCAATATCATCATCCTCATCATCATCAATGTAGTCAACAATGAAACAGAGAACATGGTCATACTGAATCAGGTGCTTTCGCTGCCCTTTTATGTGTTTGTGTAATTAGTTTTTCATAAGTCGTTAACTGAAACACTTGCTGATTTAACATGACAACATGGCTGTTACTGTGGTTGTTACAGAGCTTGTAATGAGTAAGCTACCATAAAAACTCACAATGAGGCTCCCAACCTCACACTCACATTTGACATTTCTAGATTGTTTTTTCCAGAATTAAATTCTGTTTCCCCAAACAATTCAGTTCAGAAGAAATTCGGCCCAGCTGCCAGATTTTATAGATTTCAGATGCAGGTTTATACAACATGAGAACATAGAACATATATTTGATGAAGTGAGTGAGTATTTGTCAAAGACAGGAGACAGTGAGTCTGAAAGTGAAATGACATCTTACCTCTTATAGTTGTCCAGCAGTGACGTCTTTTTGAAGTTAGTTCTGCTCGGTGCTCCCACTGCAGAGCTCATGTGGGAATTTGCTATTGGCCAGGGAACAAGAGCTCATGATATTTTGTTCAGCAAGATTATCTCTTACACTTGAGACATTAGGGCGTGTAATTATTTTCGCACAACAAAGATCTTTTGGCTTATGAGGACCACAGAAAAAACATTTTCTACAGACATTTAAAAATCCTGTGTGAAGTAAGCTCTGATGGTGGTGGTGATGGTACACGCTGTTGTGAGACCTCTGGTCAGGGGAGCAAGGAAAGAGAATGTAAAGCAGATGTCCAGATGGGTTTGAAAAGCACAGCCAAAACCCCACCACAGCATCCTCGTTGAGCAGCGAAAACATAAATTCTGACAGGATGTTGTACTAGCAGCCAAAGAGGTAAGATTTCATTACAGACAGCGTTTTTCTTTTGGATTTGGTCTGGCAACCTAATATCCCATCAGCTTGCTTTGAGACCAACATACCTGCACATACAGCACCATTAGATGCAAAAAGCTTTCATCTTAGCAGACATTTCACAAGCTTGGAGCCCGGTGTTCAAATTCTGTTTGTGCAAATATAGGTGCTCTGCTGTCAAATCAGCATTTCAAAACCAGTTCTGGTATAGCTTTTGGGTGAATGTGAAATCACATAGAACAGAGCTCAAATCAGAATCAGATGTTTTTATTCAAACATCATCCTCGACCGCTTTCCTTCCCTTTCCTTCTTCTAAC